CTTCGCTTTCCCCTCTATCTGTTGAGTCACTGCAGAAACCTCTATTTTGGCTGTTCTCACAATTCATATTATGTCAGGTAAAAATCCTTGCAAACATGTATATATTCATGGGCTTTAGCTGGGGAGCTGTCACAGAGGCAGCTGCAGTGCACAGATGAGTGGTTATGCAGGGCTATTTTTTTCCTGGTTAGGATGTAAAATTGGTAGAGCATTGTTTGGGGTTTTGAATTTACTATCTGACACCAGTGAAAAGCAAAAGCTTCTTCACTTCAACACAGAACTAAATGGGATTTGAAAGGAAGCTCAGGAATTTGCAGAACTGAATGATAATGTGAGCAGAGTTCAAAAGTTGTATTTCCCAGCTCCCTCAGAATTTAACAAAGGTTACCCCAATCAGGGAGAAGCAGAGATCTTTGTCCTGGATCGGTAATTTGTAGCCAAGACACCCTTAAGAGGCATCACTGGCGAGACTGTAGGAGGCAGAAAGCCATTTTTAAAGAATATTAATTGACCAAAAGAGAAATGCCATTCTTCAAGCATATGCAAAAATGCCCTTTACATTTAACTATCTTAAGAGGCTGACATGGATTACAAGGTACAGAAGAATACAGATCTACCTTATTCCCAATTTTCTGGTCATTTCTAGAGACCATGCAGAGAGAAACACCATATAAACAACAGGATGTCTTTAAGATACACTGCACTTGATCAAAAACATTGCTCACCTCATGCTTCAAGCCAAATAAACTGTGCAGCCCTGGATGTGCAGCACAGAACTCTGCCTGTTTTGCCTTCAGAGAGACAAAATTTATTATTTAGGAGCTGATTATGCAATAAGAGCTTCCCACAGCTTTTGGATTACACAACTCAAGTCCCAGTGGCCCAGAGCACAGGCTGAGGGAACATCTGCCTCGTGGGAATGCAGGAGCCAGATGTGCCAGAGTCACAGGAGGGGATCTACAAAGGTACTCAGCATCAGGCCAGCTCTAGTTCTCCCACAGTCCTCGGAGTTTCCCAGAGGTTATTTGGGAGAATAAAGTCAAGTAGTGTTAAAAGCCTCATGTCAGAAGTATTGCTGAAGTTAGGAACCCCCTGCAACACATGGAGTCAAATGTCCCTATTACCAAATAGGGATAATGTTTAAAATTGGCGACTAAAACAAGGAAGTAGTTAAAATGCTGCAAAATCTTTTTCCTGTAGAAAGTTCATTGAGAATGTTCACATCCCAAAAAATTTATCAATTTTCATAAAGAGATATATGAAAGAATAATTTATTCTTGTATCTCCCACCAACAATCTTTGAAGTGTATACAGGGAGCAGATGCATAAGGATGACTTAATTTTCCTGCCCATGGAATTATTTAATCATATCCTATTATGTCTCACTTTCCCCCACCTCCTCTCTTACTTCCTTAATTTCCCCTTCCAAAACCAGACCAAAGGTAAAAGTTAGCAGAGAATTTAACCGAACTCTTATCTAAGTGGGCACACAAGAATTCTTGCTGAGCCTTTTCTGAGTACCTTGTTTTCCATCAGGAGAGGCCAAGTTATCCCTCAGGCAAATGACAGAGAGGAAAAGCTGGGCAAACCACAGCTGGGGAACAGCACCCCAGAGCTCATGGACAGCTGGTCCAGCCAAAAGTTTGATTATGGAAAACCAAACCACGTTGCACTCAATACTCAACAGTTAGACACTTCAATAAGTCTTTGCTAATTTTGCTTCTGCATACAGACCCCTCTTAATTAAATGTAGCAGCCTTCACTTTGCACACATTTAACTAATAGTGCCTCATTATTTTGGTCATTATTTTTTTCTTCTGTTTCAAGATTGTTGGAAATTTTTCTTGTACATCCCTTAATATCAAATTTATTACCTACTGTTATGACAACAGGACATGATTTTTACATTTTCAAACAGAAAGAGACATGATTATGGACTTAATTAGTTCACAATGATTTAATTAAAAATTGCAGAACAACAATGTACCTAATTAGAAACATAATAATTATGCCAATGTACCTTTCCATCTTTGAAGGGACCATTAGTCATTGAGGTGGTATGTTTTGTAATTTAAGATCATCCTAATTTTCATTTTCTGACTAGTTAAGTACAGTCATCGTCATGTCCAGGTAATTGCTTTATTAACAAGCTTAATTAAAGTTCCTGTAAAACTGACATCTACAAAGTTGTTCTTCTTAATGTGTTGCTGACAAAAACATTAACTAATTACATCAAGCTCTTTACAGGGCTTACGTACCTCATAAGCTTAATTCATTAGTACTTTCAAGAGCTTTGAAAAATCTGCCAGTAATAACCCATGGAAGAGCATTGTATTGTCAGCAATATTAAATAGAGCTGTTATACCCAGGAAACTTCTTTGTACAAAGTTATTATGTGAGAGATAGTGTACCTTTTAAAACACCTGCATTTCAGGCAGTAACTAGAAAAAAAACCCAAAAAACAACCCAGTGGAACCTTTGATAAACTTTAGCCTCTTAGGAGTTCAAAGCTCACAGGAAAGAGTGATAATTTATGAAGTTTTCCAGAAATACAAGCAAATTCTGGAAGTTCAAAACCCACCAATTTTTCAGTTGCTGTAAACAAGGTACAGGAACTGAGTACATACAGGCCACATCCATGTTCAAATTTTGTCATGTAGAAGTGCTGAATTATTGGTGTAACTGAAGAAACCCTGTGTTGGAAGAATCAGTTTGTCACCTGGAAAACAAAGCTAGAACAATAAAAAACCCACCACACACTACAGTCCAACAAGGGGGCTCATCAATTTCCACTTTAGCACTTATGCACAGCACTGGCATGTGAAAGAAAATTACTGAGAAACTTTGATTTTAATGACTTGAAGGCAAGAAAAAGGGATCACATTGTCTGGTGAAATCCAACAGTGAGTTTGAGGGAAGCAGTATGGATTTTTTTTTTTTTTTGTAGAAGATACCAGATACTCATGACCATTCCTGATCATAAGAATGTTATTTGTTAGGACACTAAAATATACTATTTTATTTTAATGCTCTCCCTAAAGTATTTTCAGCTAATTTACCAAAATTCTTCTTCTAAAAAAAAAAAAATTGAATTTTGCTAGGACAGGAGCAACTGATAATAAAACATACAATAACTAAAGAATAAACAAAGTTGTTTCAGAATAAATAAATCTTTAAAAAAATCTCCTTTGAAAAAAAAACCCCAAAATCCAAACAGGCAACTTCTAGGAGGTGTCTCTGATAGTCAAATGTGTCAGCACCAGGAAATGCTTCATGTCTTCATTGCAGCTGCCAGGCTTGTATCAAAATCACAGTAGCTTCGTGAATTTAAAACATTGTACATCTGCTGAAAACCAGTTAGATCTTATGGTGAGAAATAGAGAAGGCCAAAATCCCTTTTGGAGCTACCAGAGAGGCAGGTAACATGCACAGAAATGAGTGCACAGCATGACAGAACATGGAATGAAATCTTTTTACTCCAGAACATCTTACAGACTCAAGAGTTCAGAGAGAAAAAGTAATTTTTAAAATGAGCCCACCTTAACCAGAAATACCAAAGCTACATTACTGCAATCCACACTCCTAGAGAGAATTAAAGAGTGACTTGTTCAACAGGCAATACGTGGCCATTTTCCTGCAGTCTGTGTGCACAGATGAGAGTTTCTGCTCTCATTTGCTCCTTCTGGCTACACAAATCCTTCAGCCAGAACAGGAGAGAAGCTGAAATTACCAAAGCATGGCAGCATTTTAATATTTGTGTCCATTAATAACTGAAGAATTCAAGATGCCCAGCTGAGAAAATAATGTAGCTGTCACAACACAGCAGAGATTTTTTTTCCCCTGATAGCTTCATTTTCCTGTTTGTTTGTTGGGTTTTTTTGTTTCTTTGGTTTTTTTTTTTTTTTTTTTTTTGTGAAGGCTATTTTTGGATTTTAAAAGGTAGCTTTATTGGCTGTTAAACATTACTTTGCATACATGAATTTAGGAAAACCTCAAGGGTATTCTCCAAAACATGCTTTCCAGTGCCTGAAGTGCTGTTTTTGGGACATGTGTCCAAGGCATGGAAGGCTTTATTTGCTAATGGGAGATCTGGAATGCTGAATGGCTGTGAAGACATTTTCTTTTATTGAGTTAAGCCCTAAGGTGATCGTATTTTCAGTATAACAATGAGTCAATTTATCCCCACTGGGTTATGGGAATTTTTTATGGTACCATATATGCTGCATCTGGCACACAAGCCTATTAAAGCCATGGGCTAAATGAATTGTAATATGTTACCCATGCAGTCTAGGAAAAAAGAGACAATTAAAAATAAATATATCACTGAAGAATGATTCTGCTAAGTTACTTTATGATTTGGAGACAAAATCTTAAAAAAAAAAAAAGAACTATCCCCACATCCTCTTGTCTGAACAAGCCAATCTCATCAAATGATACTTCTTCTTCAGTTGCATCATCAATATTAAAACTGTTCTACTTCATTAAGAAAAGAGGCCATTTAGAGAAACATGAATCAGGAAAATCACAAGACTGCGATTTGGCTTCTGATTTGCTGTTTGTCAAATATGGAAAAGCCTAAATTTTATCAGCACTTTTTACATGAAAAAATATTCCTACGCTAACGAAGAGTGTAATTTAATACTGCCTGACAACAAGAGGCATTTCATCTTCACCCCACAGCCCAGCTGAGTGTGGCTGTGGGAGCTGTGGCTGCAGGCAGAGCTCACCTGGGTGCTGTGGGTGTGTGCTGTGGGGGTGTGAGCTCACCTGGCTGCTGTAGGTGTGTGCTGTGGGGGTGTGAGCTCACCTGGCTGCTGTAGGTGTGCTGTAGGTGTGCTGTGGGTGTGCTGTGGGTGTGTGCTGTAGGTGTGTGCTGTGGGTGTGATCTCACCTGGCTGCTGTAGGTGTGTGCTGTAGGTGTGCTGTGGGTGTGCTGTAGGTGTGAGCTCACCTGGCTGCTGTAGGTGTGTGCTGTAGGTGTGCTGTGGGTGTGATCTCACCTGGCTGCTGTAGGTGTGTCCGTCAGAGCCGCAGACAGCGCTGGAATGGGCCACGGGACAGGGTTTGCACTTTGCCACGTTGGCTGCTCCAGCCCAGTGCTTCTGGGCCAAGTTGCCTTTCTTTTGTCGAAGGCTGTAAAATAAAACACACCACTGTTTTTGAGAAAGAATTAGAGCTTCTTTGAACAAAGCTGGATTTTCAGTACAGCATTAATTTAGAATAACCTCAGTTGGAAGATCTTTAAGATCATCGAGTCCAACCATTAACCCAGTGCTGCCAAGTCTACTAAACCATAATTTAAAGCAAGTAAATTAAATACAGCTCCTAACAATGCTTTTATAATATGGCATATTACAGCAGGCAATCTAAAAAGTCATAAATTGTTAGGCAGCCCAAGATTTACAACACTTGGTGGTTTAATTTAGATTTATAACTACAAATGATTTTACTTCAGAATATAGCATTTCTTGAGCTACACAGCATTTCTGGTGATGCAGGCAACATTACACCAAGTTGTATTTAGAGACATTTTCACCAGGCTTTCTCAGAGCTGCCAAACTAGTGCTAAGGTTGCAATGATTATAAAACAAAATCCTTCAAAAAACATTGCAATTTATACTGTGCTTACAGCAATGTACAGAATCATGAAACACTTTTGTCACTATAAGGGCAGGAGCCCTTTTGCCACACCAGCTACTGAATGATCAACTGAGGTTCTCAGATCAATCACAGTCCCCCCAGGAATGCCATGAAGTCACAGAGAGCATCTCTAAATCCACCAATCTGTGTCCCTGGGGAATGACTGCAGTTGTGTTCAAGTTATAGAATACTCAATTATTGCATTAAAAATGTCTAGGAAGAAAGACATCTGCTCCAAAAACTTATTGCAAAACATGCCATTGATTCTGACTAATGGCTCATTTTCCTGTCATAATGAACTACTTGACTGATAGGACATTAAGTAATTACCACCAGACTAATGTTGCAAGCTGATTGAAAGTTTGCTTTAGAAATCCCAGTCCAGTGTTACAATGCAGATTCATTTTGGTCGTGTGTACTTGTCTCTCACCTGAAAGCATTTACAAGGGAAGGCAAAGCATTGCAGCAGCTTTGCTGGAGACTGGTAAGAAAAATAACTACCATCTGTTCTGGTACCACAGGAATAAAAAGATATGATATAACAGTTCAGCTAGAAATGCATTTCAATGTGCTGCTGAATGACTTTATCACAGTTTTAGAAAAATATATACAGATATTTTTTAAAGCAATTTCACTACAGCTTGCAATTTGCTACACAATACCAACTCTGATGTAATGACACATTCAGCTGCTAAATAATATAAATTCTATTCTTTCATCTCAGTCCTAATTTCCCTCAAGTCTAACCTTTGCCAGATATGAATAGTACTATTAAGAAGATTGGGTCCTCAAAAGGAATTCAATCATGATATAATAAACTATGAAAATAGAAGCCAAGTATTTAAGACTAAATTCCCTTGTTATTTTGAAGAAGTCTCTTTAATGCAGAGAGCAGCACTCGGTTTCAGATGCATTCTGCCACCAAAGGCACCAATACAACAAAGGCACCAGGTGCTAAATGCTGTGGATAGGTGGTTACTCAGCTCTGAACCCCTAAAGCAGCTCTGTGGATCTGATCTCTTATGCTGAGGCTGTATGAATTGTTTATTTAAGTTTTCCACACTAACTGGTTTCTTTGCAGCCCCCAACTATGCTTTGTTATCAAAATGTAATGATTATCTCATTTCCTTGATCTCTTTGGATTACAGGTATGACTTTTGGATTTTTTTTTTTTTTTTCAGCTTGACAGGAAAACTTCCTCATTTACTTTACTTACAGCCCCACTCTTCTGGAATGCACAAACTCAGAGTCAAAAATACGTTTGAATGTTGTACTGTAGATACTGATGGGCAGAGTCTGGAGACAAATACGAAAGGAACTGTGCTTTTCCTCTGGAGACTGCAGAAGGTCATAGCACAAAGCAGACTTTTCACTGACTTTAACTTCCACGATTTCAAAAGATAGATCCTTTGCTATACAGACAGTTGTTAAGAAGAACATTTTAGAATTAGTTATAGAAAACCAGCCAAAAAATGCTAAACTTGAAGTGTGATTTAGTGCCATCATCATCAAAGCCATCAGCCACGAAGCGTGGAGGATGCAGAGCGAACTAACGAGCACCTCATCAAAATTAAATATATTGCAGTTCTTAGCTAGACTGATGCCTAAAAAATCACAGGATCTGAGTGGCAAGTATAAACACATTGTACAGCATTTGTGGATCACACTACATCAGGTATTCTACACTATAACATCAAAAGAAAAGTCTACTCAGGACAGGGCCGCTTGTCCATCTCTGCACAGCCTTACATCCCTTGCTCTTAATTTATTTAATCCTTCTTTGATCCCTTCAAGATTCATACTGCAAAGCCAGGTCCCGTTAGAAAATTCCTCTAAAGCTGATGATGTTTTTCATTCTCCTTTCATCACTTAAAAAAAGAAAGAAAAAAGTAATTAAATTTGATTGTTTCAAGCCATTCCAGCAGCTCATGGAGCCTGGTGGCCCTTTCCATCACTTTACTGAGAGCATAAAGAACATGCACAGCCTTAGGCTTGAGCTCTGGAACACAACACTGGGGACCACAATGGTTTCACCTGAGCCCCATTTGCTGTGTTCTTCCTGCAGACCAGGAAGGAAACATTTACTCTTCCTAACCCCCACATTCATCTTCAGGATCTTCTTTTTATAATAAAAGGAAGTTTATTCTCTGAAAGAGTGGTGTTTAATAACAAGAATTTACAGTGGAGTAGATCTCAAAGCATTTCATTAATTTGAAACAAAAATGAAACAATTTTACTAGCACTTCATATAATGTATGTGATGAGGCAGGGAATGCTGCAAGAAATCTACAGCTCCCTCATTCCTGCAGGTGCATGGAACTGGTAGCACAGCAGCCATTTCTATTGCAAGAAACAGTCTGGCTTTCAAAAATTAATATATTCTTCTCAAGCTGCATGTTTTTCCAAAACGATGGTGCAAAGTGTCACCGCATTTGAAGCAAGTCAAAAGTAATTTTTGTCAGCTTGGCCAAGTGAGCAACAGCTGAAAGCTTTAACTGGACACCCAGATTCCCCACCAAAACCACAGCTGAGCACCTATCTTGTAAAAGGAACATCTATTTTCCAAAAACAAACGTGTATTTTTCTGCAGTCATATTTTCGAGAGGCTGGATAGGACTTTTGGAAGCTTTTCAATCCTATAACTCCTAACAACACATCAAACATACAAACAAACAAATTAAAACCTAGACAAGAACATTGGCTGCCATAAGCAGCCAGCCAGCAAATCCCCTCTCAATGGAAGTGCACATTCACATACTCTGGGAATGCTCTGCAATGCTAATTATCTTGGCTTAGAATGAATGTGTCAGGAGCAAGCCAGGCCAAAGCAAATTAGGCTCTTTTTTTTTTCCTGACAGCCAACTTTAATCCTGCTTTAAGACTCAGAATTGAAAGGATCTATGACTATTTTCACTACTCCAGAAGCTGGAACACATGAATGTTTTGGTCAAGTATTATGACTTATAGGCAAACCCTGCCTGCTTTTGCTTTGCAGACTGGTGAACCAATGCACCAAAAAGCAGAAGAATTATGGAGTTTATAAGTTTTACAGCATTCAGCCTCTTGGTATTTTAATACATAAAGAAATGTCAATGGTTTAAAGGGAGAGTGCACAGTGATTGAAGTCCATTACTCTTTACACAGACACACTGCTCACCACACACTGTGACAATCCAGGGAGATGCCATCTGCTTGGCTTGCACAGGAGCAGGGACGTGCCTGAGGCTCTGCAGATGCCACCAGGCAGATGCCAGGCGGGTACAGGACAGCTCGGGGCAGCCACAGACACCTGCACGCAGCTTCCAAGCACAAAGCCCTGGCCCTGCAAAAAGGACCTGGCAGAAAAGTGGCTCCACTCAAGATTTTATGGCTTCCAGCTGTGTCCCAGAAGCTCAGCCCCAGCTGGGTGCAGCTGGCAGCCCCAAGGATGGGAACCACCTGGCCCTGTCCAGCCTGGCTGGGAGCAGCAGTTCTGGGCACTGCTGGAGTGTTTGAACTGTGCTTTTGATTCAGCAAAAGTTTGTCAAATAAAACATCTTAAATTGTCTCAGATTAAAAACAAAACAAAAAAAACCACCCACAAACAAAAAAAAACAACCAACCAAACAAAAAAAACCCCAAAAACAAACCCAGCAATAAAAACCCAGCAACAAAACCCAAAAATGCAAATACAAAGTGTTAATTCCTGACCAGCCCTTGACTGGATGACATAGGCTGAGCTACTCAGGGAATCTATGTACCTTTCTGATAACATTTTTTCAGGGACAGGACAGAAAAGTATATAACTAAAAACCTCTGGCAAAGCCAGGTGTCAAAATAAAGGTATTTGCAGAAAAGAAGCATGTTTTGTTTCTTTACATTTGCAGTTTATTTACATTTAATTTTATATTTGACGCATGTTCAGACTTTTCATTAAGAAGAAAATGTAAAAAATTAAGAGTATGTTAGCTGGCTCCAAAATCAGCTACTCCCAAATGCACATATAGTAAATTAGCAGATTAAGCATTGATGGGCTTAATGCAATCACAAATCAGGTTCCTTTGGCAGGCTGTTGTTTTTGAAAATCCTCACAAACTTCTAGGATGAAGCAGACAGTAAACAGAAGTTTCTCCTTGGGACTTTGGAACTCATTCAGTAATTTTACTGGACAAGAAAAAGACACTTTACCCAAAGGAGTTTTTGTTAGGTGAGTTTTCAAAGGTCTGCCGCAAATAACAGCAGAAAGTTTCTCAAGAACCCCAACAAATAAGTTACACAATGTCTTCTGACAGAAAGTATCAGGTAAACAAATAGTGAGATTGGTGCTGTCTCTTCTTGTTCTTTAACTTGGTGTTTCAGTGATGTTACACAACCACAGAATTTGGTTCAATTCATGTTGTAAATTATTTACACCTATTGTGTTTTCTGGGCTTAAAATCATAAAACTACTTATTTCAGGTCCTACTGAACAGGACTGAGCTGCTTGGGATTTTTTTTTTTTTTTATAGAACAGG